CCCAATCCTGTGCCCCAGAGCCAATACACTTCAACAACTCTTGACCCTTGACCTTTAATCTGCCACCTGTGTCTCCCAACATCTGCTGTCCTGGCCCAGATACGACCTCTCACTTGGAGGGTGACCCTGCTCACAGCTCCCTGCTGACACCCTGCATCCATGTGGATGTGTGTGTGTGTGCTCATGTGTGCATACGGAGGCCAGAGTGTCACTCCTCGGGTACTGTCCACCCCCTCCCCCAATAGGCTTTCTCACTGGACTCAGAGTTCACAGGCTAGGCTGCCTGGATACGAATCCCAGTGATCTGCTATCTCCTGCTTTCTCTGAGCCCTGAGAGTACAGCATTCGGCAACATGCCCAGGTTTCTATAAAGGTTCTAGGATGGACCTCAGGTTCTCATGCATGCTTAGCATACACTTTACCAACACAGCCATTCCCCAGCCCCATACTCATGCATTTGTTCTTGCACCCGTGTGAGTGCACATTCACATGTGCGTGTGTATGTAGAGGCCCAACTCTGACGTCATAGGACGTGGAGGTCCACATGACGTCAGGACTTACCCTTGATAGCTTTTCCACCTTATTCACTGAGGCAGGCTGTCTCAATCAAACCCAGAGCTTCCAAATGACTAGTCCCACTCATGAGAGCCAGCTTGCTCTGGGGATCCCTGTCTCTGCCTTCTGAGACACAACCACCCTCATTTGTATTGCTTTCTGGGGATTCAAACTCATATCTTCTCACTTACAAGGCAGGTCCTCCCGGATAAGCCATCTCTCTAGCCCCAGGCCCAGGCCCAACTCTGTTTCTCCTGGAAACAGAGCCTGTGTCAACCTATACAGAATAGAAAGAGATTAGAGGGCTGCCAGCTGCTCCCCTCAAACAGCCTGCCTGGCCTCGGTTTCTCAGCATCTCAGAACTTGGGGTCCCTAAGGGATGTATCATGTGGTCCCGCCCTCCTGCTATCCCTTATGCTGCAGAAGGGGGGGGCTCTGTTACCCAAGAGAACACTCTCTTCATAAAACCTCTGGATAGAACCCTGCTGCTGGAGCATAGGTGGAATTACAGCACTCGGGAAGCTGAGGCAGAGGGATTGAAAAAGACAAGAGCCAGTCTCATAACAGTAAAACCCCTCTGGGTGTGGTCTAGTGTCTAACTGGCTTCTCTAGTCCTGAACACCCCGTGTCCTGTCACGGTTCATTGCTGGAGGAAACAGTGTGTCCTGTGTGACCCCTGGGAGGGGAGTCTTGCGTGCGGCCAGCTTCCTGTGGTCTCAGCCCAATGCCTTCCCCTTGGCTGGCTTAACCTGGGCTACATGTCTGCTTCTCTGCATCCTTGGCAACAAGGGGTTGAACATGGGATGGTATGAGGGGCCCTTGCTTAAAAAACGTCTTTGGTTTCCCACGACCCTAAATGGTAAAGAACAAGCCCCGCCCCCTACCCCAAGGCTCACCCCACTTCTTTCTGCTGCAACTGTACCCACACGTCTGGTCTCACCTGCCTCTCCCTGCTTGGCGACTCTGGCTCCATTCAGCCTGTGTTCTAGGCCTCAAGGCCTTTGCCCAGCGTGCTTCCTCTGGCCTGGAATGAGTATGGCTCCTCTCACGTTGTCATCTAATTTTTCAGTCCTCTCTTAGGCTCCCCCCAAATGTCTCGGATCAGGGATGCTGATCCACTCACACACCTCTTCAGTTGCCCACACCCCTGACTGAACACCCCAGGGTGAAAGCTACACAGCCTCCTACTCACAATGTACCTTTGACACCTGGCCAGGACCACGGATTCCACACTCAGGGACAGTGCAATGAGACACACGAACACTGTCACCTGCCCAGTGAGCCCATCACCCCCACCCCTGCACCGGCTCGGTGTTCTGAGGAATGTCTATTTATAAAATCAGGGAAGTCTGTAAATAGGCGTTGAAGTCTTTCCTTCACTAGGGTGGGGAGGAAGTTTGAGGTTTGCAAAAACAACCTCTGTGCCGGCTGACTGGCTCAGGTGGGGGGTGATGAGTGACCAGGTTTACACAGAGCAACGCTCTTCAGTCACCTCACCTGGAGGGTCTGGAGTCCACTGCTCAGAGGCTGTCAGGGCAATGACTTTCACAAAGAAAGGGCTGATGGTGCATCTTCCGAAATCCTGATTACCCACTACCTCAGGAGCTCTATACAGAGTCTCCCGAAACAATGCTAACATCCCTGCTATGTGGGTCCAAACTGGCCTTGCTGATGCCAAACCAGGAACAGAGAGGCCAAGAGACTTGACAGAAGTCACACAGCTAAGGAGAAACAGAGCCCAGTTGCAATCCAGGCTACCCAGTGAAGTACCCCTTGCTTCCTACGTGACCCATGGGGTTCCTGAAGCCCATGTTGGTAGAGGCCTGCAACAGAGGTTCTCCAGACAGAGGAACTGTCGTGCCTCACACCCATGGCACACTCTGACACATTCCCTCAGACAGGATCCTTCCTACCATCCAATTCTCTGTTCCATTTCTAAAGGACCAATGGCAGCCTTGTCTAAACAGGCATGGGGAAGCGCCCTGCTCCTTTCCCAACGGGACAAAGCTGCTGGATGATGTGCAGGGACAGGGAGTCAGATACAAAGTCTGTGACACCAGCCACACCACCTGGTGTCACAAGCTGGGCTGCTTCATAAAACCAGAGAAACAGTCAGCTAACTCTCTAGAAATCTGTCACCCAGAGACCAACGTGAGACTGATGCTTTGGCCACAGAGTCCCCTGAGGAAAGACTTCAGGCCCCTCTGTTCCCTTCTGGAAAGCACCAAGGAACATTAAGGGGATACGTGAAGAGAAAGCAGCTACTCTCTCTGGCATCCAATCTGTCGCCAACTACCTGACGAAACTTCAACACACCGGACAGAGCAAAGGTGACCCACGGCAACAATGTATGTGGCCCTGAAGACACCTTGACCATGAATGTCAGGGACACATGAGCTGTTCACTGAGGGCTGGCATCTGTGTGACTCCGTGTGACCTTGAGCCTCCTGTATTAGCGTCTTCTCCCATCCCTCAGCCTAAAGAGAGCACCTCACTTTTTCAATATGTAAGCCATCCTATTCAGCCATGGTAGATACCTAAATGCATCTCCCTTGAGAAGCTGAAACCTGTGCCTTGGGACTGTTGTCTGCCCTTCTCCCGTCTGTCTGCCTGTCTAAATAATAAACTAACTACTTTTGTTTCAGTCTGGCTCATCCTGAAAGTCTCCATGTCACAGTCAAGGCTCTGGCTTGCCCTGATTGGAACATCCTCACAGGGAAGGAAAACTCTCAGGCTGTGTCCCCTCCCCTCGCCTACCTCCCAACAGCACTGACAGTTTCACAGAGAGGCCAGCCGTATGTTGGAATGACTGAACCCAGGGACTTATGCAGATCAGACAAACCTCCAGAGCTGAGCCACACCCCATTGTCACCACAGTCACAAACTCAAGAGCTCCTGAGTTCACCAGAAGTGTATCGAGACAGAACCTCCGCCAAGCTCAACACCTACAGAGGAAGTGAGCCGATCGCCCCACCCGCCCCAACCTCTACACACCCGCTTCCAAGCCCTGCAGACGGGCCAGGATGTGTCCATCTGTGGAATAAGGCTAGCAGGTGGACCATACCCCTTGCTTGTCCTATCATGGAGATATGAGCCTTTGACAAGTGGCAGCTATCCCCAGGTACCCTGCTAATGTCGATACTAGGCATAATCCCCACTGCACCTCTGTAGGCCGATGTTATTGCTGCCATTTCCCAGAATGGGAAACTGAGGGACAGGGGAAAGAAGGAAAAAGGGACTCTAAGGAAGTCAGTGTCCAGACAGGTAGCCAAGCCCATCTCCACAGAATTAGTAACTGCCAATCAGTTCTGTGCAGTGATGCACACTCATCCCCTCCCTGAATATACCTGTGTTCTTAAACCCTAGGAGGGCCAAGGGCCAGCAGCATGGCTCAGCAGGTAAAGCCGATTGCTACTAAGCCCAATAACCTGAGTTCAATTCCTGGTACCCACCTGGTGGAAGGAGAAAAAGGATTCCCACAAGTGGTCCTCTGATCTCCACAAATGAACCATGGTACAATATACGTGAGTGTGTGCATGTGTGTGCACGCGCATACACACGTATGTATGTATGTATGTATGTATGTATGTATGTATGTATGTATGTATAATTAAAGAGAACTCTAGGAGTCTGGACAAGTTTGAAGCCATAAAAAACAAACTATTTAAGCAAGCATTTCAAAGTATGGTGCTCCAGGATAGGCTCAGCCATGATAGGCACATGCTGTCTCTGAGCAAAAAAAGGCCAGTCTGCCACAAAGGGTCCTGTCAACAATGGAGACAGCCCCTGGTGGTGGCCGCATACCCTAGCTGGCTCTAGTTCCCCAAGGAGTTTGTCATGGCTGGGTTCTCCATTCTAACATCCACTCCCCCTGTTACCTCCACACCTAACTGAGGCTGGTGAGAAGCCTTCACCACTATAACGTATCCCTGCAACTGTCCGGTTTCATTCCAATCCCCAGAGCCACCTGGTCTTCAGCTATGACAGCTTCCTCTACCTCAGCATTCACAGTCACTAGTACAAAAAAAGGAGCAAACCCTGGGCCAGAGTTCCCAGCACCCTACCATGTCAGCCTTGTGTCCCCCATCTCCCTGTAATCAAAGGCTGCAGGCAATTTCACATCTGACTTCATCCCAACTAGTTTTGGGGAGCAGCCCCTCGCCTTGCTGGGGGGCTGAGAACCTTTCTGGAGACCTCAGCAGTCTCACCTCGCCCACCCTCAATGTGTAACCGAGGATGATCCTGAATCTCTTAACCCTGACCCCCTGCTCTACCCTGTCCCTCCGAAGTGTTTAGGATTACAGGCGAGCCCCACCACACCCAGGTAGGCTCTGACTACGTGGTTCTTAAACTATGTCAGGGTTTGCATGGCAAACCCTGATTCCCCTATAAGAAACACCCACAAGAGACTCCTCTCACGGAGGGAACCTCCAGACATGATATACCTTTTGGTCATGGGAAGTCATTTTCCTGTTGTCTCAGGATCTAACAATGAGAGAACCGGAGGCAGACTTGTCACCCCGCTGTCCTGAGCGAATGCTTCGCAATCTGTCCTCACAAGTCCGTCTGAGGAGCACCTGAAGATAAGGCCACAAAATGAGTTAGAAAGAATGAGCTGGGAAAATGGTCAAGCAATTAGCAATTCTCATGAACACCTGCTTGAGTGCTGGATCCACTTCCGATCCACTTTGTAGGAAGCATACAGTTGTTACCATGACAAATGAGTAGAAACAACCAATGTCCATCGACAGAGACATGGATAAAGAGTCGCACAGTGGAACACTACCCAGCCTTTAAACATTAGCAGTTGCTACAGAGCGGAACACCCTGTCCACTATACAGCGGGAAGACAGCCAGATTCAGCGCGGTGCATGCTGGGCTCGGCATGTGGTGCACCTGTAACCCAGCACTCAGGAGGCTGAGGCAGGAGGAGGATGAGTTCAAAGCTAGCCTAGACTGCATAGGGAGGCCCTGTCTCGAAGTTAAAAATGAAATTTGGAGATGGCACGATGGCTTAGTGGGTAAAAGTGCTGAGTTCCATCCCTGGGACCCACATGGTGGAAGGAGAGAGCTAACTCCCACAGATCACCCTCTGGCCTCCACACATGTGCCGTGGTGCACAGACAGACAGACAGACAGACACACAAATAAGAACCTTGAAAATAAATTCTTTTTTTTTTTTTTGGTTTTTTTCGAGACAGGGTTTCTCTGTGTAGTCCTGGCTGTCCTGGAACTCACTCTGTAGACCAGGCTGGCCTCGAACTCAGAAATCTGCCTGCCTCTGCCTCCCAAGTGCTGGGATTAAAGGCGTGGGCCACCACCACCGGGCTTGAAAATAAATTCTAAGACAACCTTTAACATGAAGCCCCAGCAGGCCTGGAGCTTGCAAGATAGACCAGGCTGGTCTTGAACTCACAGAGATCCACCTGCCTCTGCCTCCCTAGTATAGAATTAGAGATGTGCACAACACCTCCCACACACAAAAAAAATTAAGATTTATTTTTAAAGTGTATGTGTGTGTGTGCATGCATGCATCTGTGGGCATATATGTGTGATATATATGTGATTACATATATATGATTATACATTACATATATATGATTGTGTGAAAGATTTGTTATTTTTAAAATGTGTGTGTGTGTGTGTGTGTGTGTGATTGTGAAAGTGTTCTCACAGGGCAGACAGAGGATCTCCTGCACTGGAGTCCATGTGGTTGTGAGCTGCTTGGTGTGGGTGCTGGGGATCAAGTTCAGGTCTTTTGCCATCATAGCATGCACTCTTTACCACTAAGCCATCTTTCCAAGCCCCTAGCCCCCTTTTAAAGATAAACTTTGGACATTGGTGGGTCTCTTCTTTTGCTTTGGTTCTAGAATGACTATGTGTGATTCTTTTTTTCAAAATTTTTTTAACATAGATGACAGAGGCACATAGTAAAACTTTAAACTAAGCAGAAAGATGTCTGCTGGTAAGTCTCCATCTACCCTGTGCTCCCTTCCCAGAAGCATCTACTCCACTCAGCCTTCTGTGGTTTCCCCTCTTCACAGGCCTGCGCATACGCAGAAGGCCTACAAGTATTCATTCACTTTTTTTCTTTTTCTTTTTTTCTTTTCACTTCTTTCTTTCTTTTTTTTTTGTTATTGTTGGTTTTTTGTTTTGTTTTTCGAGAGAGTTTCTCTGTATAGCCCTGGCTGTCCTGGAACTCACTCTGTAGACCAGGCTGGCCTCAAACTCAGAAATCTGCCTGCCTCTGCCTCCCAAGTGCCACTGCCCGGCCACTTTTTTTCTTACACAAACATGAGTGACACACTGTCTCTCAGAACCACACTTATTTCCTTTTGGGGTGGGGTAGGTAGGCAGTCTCCTAGAGCACCCAGGTCCTTTCCCCTTGAACCCAGGAGTTTGTCACTTTATGTGTGCACAGTGACTAAATTCAAGATTGGGTGACAGGAGGCAGCCCAGGTGGATACACTGTAACCAGGAGGGTCCATCTGAGGAGCAGAGGGGCGAGTGAAGGGGCTTCCAGCAGAGAGAAGCAAGCATGAAGATTCTGGGAGGCCAGTTCCTGCTTTGTGCACCCCTAAGAACTGGTAAGGGTCCCCAGACCCCACCCAGAGCCTCTGGAAGAAAGGCAGCCTTGAGGGCCTCTCCATCTGCACCATGGAAAATGCTTTTAGGCTTCTGATCCATAGAACTATGAGGTAATAGTTGGGACTTTTTAAAAACCACTAAATGTATAGTCCCTGCTACAAACCGGGGACACTTGCCATCCCCAAGGGACCACACTGTGGCAGTGAGCTCTAGACAGAGGCGCTTGCTATGATGCCTAGTACTCCCCCTGAGGGAATGTAGTGAGGTTACCAGTGGGCACAATGGGGTTTCCCGCCCCTTCCTATCCCAGAACCCCACCACTTGCCTTGAATCCGGTGCATTTGTACCTATTCCCTCAGGTGCCAGAGCAACATTGGACATCTTTCTCGATGTCTCTCCATGTGATTTGGGGGATGGGGGTGGGGCACACAGTCTCTGAACCTGGACCTCAGCAATTCTGTGAGATTGGCTGTCAGAAGTCTAGAGGTCTTCTCGTCTCTACCTCACAGAACTGGGATTCTAGCTGTGTGGCAGCATCAACAGCTTTTTATGTCTGTACCCTCCAGCACAGATGACTGTCAAGAGCATCAGCAGCTTTGGTCACAGCTCCTACATAGACAGGAGAGGCAACCTTCACAACTGCAGGCGAAGGGCCGGCAAGATGGTTTAACTGGTAGGGGTGCTTGCTGCCAAGTCTGACAACCTGAGTTTGACCCCAGCATCCACATTGTGAATGGAGAAAAATAACTCTAGCAAGTTGTCTTCTGACCTCCACAAGCACACTGTGGTGTGTGTGCATGCATACACACACACATGCATGCACGCACGCACGATGCAATTAAATACACAGTCTACCAACCTACATACAGGTAAAAGGAGGTGTCAAAGATCCTTGTGTCTTCAAAGCAGAAACTAACTCCAGCACAGAAAAACATTGGCTTCGCCAACTGAGGACAGAGGGTTTCAACTCTCATGTCTTCCTCGATAATCTAGCCCAAACAAATAAAAATAGTGATGCCCTCTGCCTGGGTGGCTGTGGAGAAACCTCACATTGGCTAGAGAGACTTGATCCAGTCAGACATCTAGGGATAGGGGCTTTCAAATGGCTACATCCTAGACCTGACTATTTCATTCCAGAAACCTTTCCAGAGCTCCCCAGCAACTGCGTGGGCAACAGTGTGTGTAACACAGTGGATGTTGTTGCCAACTCCCCAATACCTGAACGGGAGAAGCTGAAGGCCACGCAAGGGAGGAAGACGGACATGCTAGGGTCTGCGCAGCAGTGGAGAAAGCAGACTGTTGAGCAACCAGAACTGATAACTGTGAACCAAGCATGCGATCTCTTTGCAAGCAGCAGAGCCAGAGCAGCTTTCCTCCCTGCCGGGTACTATGCTGGGTTCAGGGAGAGCAGAAGGGAAGGCGCCTGGAGATGGCAAACACCACAAGGACAACACACAGGGCTGAGGCTACACTCTGCCACCTCCCTGGTGGGGAAAAGCAGAACAGAGCAAGCCAGGCTCTTGCAGGTCGAGTGGCCAGGCTCTCATAGGGACAAGTGTCCCAGGAAGAGGAAGATCCCTTGACAGCAAGAACTTAAGAGGACAGAGCGAGAGGAGCAAACAGATATGAATGAATTAAGAATAATTGTCACCGGGCGGTGGTGGCGTACGCCTCTAATCCCAGCACTTGGGAGGCAGAGGCAGGCAGATTTCTGAGTTTGAGGCTAGCCTGGTCTACAGAGTGAGTTCCAGGACAGCCAGGCTACACAGAGAAACCCTGTCTCGAAAAACAAAAAACAACCCCCCCCCCAAAAAAAGAATAATTGTCAAGCTGGGCATGGTGGTGGACACCTTTGATCCCAGCACTCCGGAGGCACAGGGAGGCAATCTCTGTGAGTTAGAGGCCAGCCTGGTCTACAGAGTGAGTTCCAGGACAGCCAAGACTACATAGATAAAACCTATCTCCAAAACCAGAATAAGGAAGAGGGGAGAAGGAGGAGAAGGAGAAGGAGAAGGAAAAGGAGAAGAAGAACCAGGATTCAGGATAGGAGGGTAGGATAGGAGGAGGTTGGGGGAGGTCTAGCAGTGCTCTCAGCTTGTGTGAAATGCTAAGGAGTTTGGGATCAAGAGTCATAGCAGGGACATGATAGGGCGGACCAAAGAGAATAGAGGTCTGGACTTAGGTGTAATCATGGTGACACAGCATCTAGACTCGAGATCTGTGTGGGCCAGAACTTGTGACTGTCCTAGATGGAGTGGGAGTTGGGAAGGAAGAATGGAGACAGGAGCTGCAGGCGGGAAAGCCTGGGCGAGGATGTCTGGGGACACAGTCTGGGGACTTCCTTCTTGCTAAACATGGCCACGGAAGGGCTGTGGGCTCCCCAGCAGCTCTGCAATTGGGTAAGACCTAGCCTAGAGATTTTCAAAACCCTGCCTTGACCAGCCTTTCTGCCAGGGGAGTCTTGGAGGCAGAAGTTGCTGTCCCCATCCATGGCCTTACTCAAGAAACCTCAAGCTGCTGGTGGGCAGTCAGGAAACACTGCAAACCTCGGAGAGTCCCCACCAACCTGAGATGAAATGACCGGGCACACAGAAATGCCTTCAGAGGGGCAAGGTTGAACATAGAGAAACACAGCTCCCAAGTGACCCGGTGCTAGGTTGGGGATGGGAGTGGGGATTGCTTAGGCCTCCCCCCCACCCACGATCACCTCAGCATCCCTGGGAGGTAGGTGCCATTCGGAATGCCATAGGGCAGGGAAGGACACGGAGACACAGGCAGAGTCCCATTGCTAAGACATGTAGAGCCAGGGGCACACTGTCACTTGGTACTGGGTAAGGGTGGGGCCTTCTGAAGGGCAGACATGCATGCTGGTCTCAGTCTTACAGTATTAACCTGACCCCCAACCCACCCACCATCCTTGTTCCTTGGCACCTCTGAACTCAACAGATAGGGGTTCAAATCATTTTCAGAAGGCTCTGCTAAATTGGGTTTCTTCTTGCTAAGGTGCACCGGCGTGCTGGCTCCTTGGGGCCTGCTCTTGGGGTGCCAGCACTACCTGCACCCTCTGCTGTCTCCCTGCGGTAGCTGTGGGGCCCTAGGATGGGGAACAGGGCTTAGGGCTTCACACCCACCTGCGGGTAGTTCACCTCTGCCTCCTTTGCACGGCTGGCTCTCTCCACCTGTATGAGGGGAACACTGTTACTTCTCCGTAAGTCACACGGTGCTGGGTGTGGCAGAACCGTGGCTGTGGATCCAGGTAACACCCACCAGGAGAGGAGGCGCTTGTCAGTGCCCAATTCCCCGGGGGAGGATAACGGGGTGGGCAGCTACAGTTCAAGAAGCAGCCAGGGCCTTGGTCACCCTACAATGCCCCCTGGCCTGGTCCTCCCCACTCCGCAAGCCAGAATGGACAAAGGAACAGCGGGGGATCAGCGGGGGATCACGAGGATGGAGAGTGGCCAGGGCTTCCTTCCACCCTCCCAGGCCCTGCCGCTGGCGAGTGTGCAGAGCGGGGAACAGATCACGGCTGCCCTCAGCTCGAGATACCACTGAGGTTGGAGAGGAGAGGGGCACCCTGGCCTCCCCACCCCTGCCCCATCCTTGTTACCTGGCAGCAATCGGCTCAGCTCTGTTCTCACCCCAGGGCAAGAGACTCAGGCACACCCCTGCTCGGAGGAGCCCAGGAGGCGGTCCCATGTCTTTGGGGGTGTGGTGTGGCGGGAGTTTCCACTGTTACTCTGTAAACTCAGAGGCCTAAGGGGGCACTAGTGCGCTCCCACACAGCCTAGAGGCCACAACTCTGAAGCGGCTCTCAAATGACAAAAAAAAACACCGGGAGTTTGCATAGGGCTGGGACTCATCCCAACCCCCACCCTGCCGCCTCTCCAAAGGACCTCCTCCTCCCTCCCTCTTGCAAAGCCCCTGTGCTTACCGGAGGAGATGCACTCCCTAGCTGGATTCAGGGAGCCAACTGATACAAGAGCAGGTTAAAGAAAAACTGTTTCCGTGCCCGTGGAGATGGTCCCAAGAAAGTAAAGGCAGAAGAAATGTATCATAAGCTGGTGAAGGAATGACTGGACCCAGGCTCTCTGGGCTGGGGAGAGAAACTCAGGAGGGTCACTGAGAGACTGTGTGTGTGTGTGTGTGTGTGTGTGTGTGTGTGTGTGTGTGTGTGT